TCAGGTGACCATCCAGGCCCATGCCACAGTGCCACCCAGCAAGGGGACCAATCCATACAGGCTCAGGGTGCAGCATGTCTTATGCAATGCCTGTGTGAGAAGCAGGCTGGGGGGTGGAGGGGCGGACACTGCTGGATCCAGCCAGTGCAAGGTTCAGGATCAGGTGACATTAAGCCCCAGGAGGAGCCAATCCAAAGGTGTGAAGAAGGGGTGTGAGGGCCACAGCACATTTTGATTGGGGCATGGTTTACGCAACTGTGTGCTTGGGCCTAAACCTACTCCATTGCCTATAAGCCATGTGCATTTGGCTCTAGTAAATTCTGTCTCAGAACAAGGAGCAATGTCTAATTACAGCAATCTGTTTAGTAGGTTTTGCTTCTCACGCTGATATAGGTTAGTGTTTCCAAAAGTTTTAATACATACATACTTGGGGTTCACCCAATGGGGAAACACACTAAGGATAAGGGGAGCTGGGCTTCCTGCTCTTGGGTGTGGAACGTAGAACACCAAGGTCAGAATGTGCTCTGTGTGACAGGACACAGCAAAGCAGGCCTGTGGTCTTGCGAAGGATGAGTGGGTGGATGCATGCATGAGTGGGGGGGGGGAGACAGAGGGGTAGCTGGGTCGGGGCTGGGAAGATGGACAGAAGCTGAGTGGGAAGGCAGATGGATGTGTGGGTGGTGAGTAGGTGGACGGGTGGAGAGGTAAGGGTAGGTGGACAGGTGGATGGATGGACAGACGGACAGATGGATAAATGATGGCTAGGTGGGTGGGTAGGTAGACGGATGCACAGAGGGCTGAGGGCTGGAGATAGCAGGGTGGATGGATCCACAGTGGATGAGTGGGCGAATTACTTTTATGTGCGTGCAGGCACGTACCTGTTCCTGTGTCTACGAACACATGCTTTCCTTTTCCTGCATGAACATACCCTTTCCCTCCTTCTCCTTCTATCCCTTGTCAATACGAAGTGCTGGTTTCAGGGAGCTCCCAGTGAGGGTCTGCCTGTGATGGCGGCAGAGCTGCACGTGTGGTTTGTGCCCTGATCCAGGTTCCTAACGCCAGCTTCTTAGAGAAAACGATGGACACAGGACAAGCTTGGAAAGCACAGATGAGCCTCGCCCAGGGCTGGACCATGCTGGACATGCCAGGAAGTCCAGCAGCACTCAGAGACCAGTGGGGACAACAGTGTCGGGGTGCCCTGCTCAGACTCCCACAGATCAGAGTTGGGACAGTGAGGCCATTGAAAGCAGTTAACGATGGCAGTGGATTACAAGCCATTGAACACAATGTAATAGTAAGTTTAAGAATAAAAAATAAAAATGTATGAGTCTTTTAAGAATGAAAGAGAGAAAGAGGAAGGACAGGAAGAGGAGGGGAAAGGAAGGAGAACGGTCTTTTATTGGAAAATGAAAATTCATAAGGGCAGAAGAAAGATGGGGTTAAGAAATAGTGAATAGGACACTTATAGTCTCAAAATAACTGCATGAATAGTATTTTTAACAGACAGTAACTTTAGCAAGGAGGAGACGGGCAGGTCTGAAGTGACCAAGGGTGAGCACACTGGCCCAAAGTAGCAGCAGTCTGCTCAGCAGGACGCACCGAGAAGGACCGGGAGCTCCGAGATTCCTGCAGCAGTGCACAAGCAGGGGCAGATGGGGAGCTCCAGGGCTGGCCCAAACTAAGGCACACTCTATGGGTGACAACACACAGAGCGAGGCTGCCCGGGGCCCCGGTGACTGTGGTGACCTGAACGCATTACATGATTGGGTCAGAGCTGGGCCTGGTAGGTAGGACGGGGCAGCACTGGCACCTGGGAAGGCCTGGCCATGGGGGGGGGGAGTGGGTGGCAGTGCCGTGTCAACGTGACAGTTCTTGGGATTGACAAACACACTATGAGGGAAGGCAATGGAGAAATGAGGCAAAGGGACACAGTGTCTCTGCCCACTCACACTGGTGGTGAAAAACTACATAAAAGTGTGTATATTTGAAGAAAGGTAGATGATAGACAGATGATGATGATGATGAAGATAGATAGATAGATAGATAGATAGATAGATAGATAGATAGATAGAAATGGATGATGGATGATGGATGGATGAATGGGTGAGTAGATGGATCAATGGATGTATGGATGGAGGATGGACAGATGGATGAATGAGTGGATGGAGAGATGGATGGATAATGGATGGATGGATGGAAGACGGATGATAGATGAAGGATGGATGAACAGATAGATGGATGATAAATAGCTGGATAAGAGGTGGATGGATGGATGACACACAGTGGATCGATGGAAAACCACTGCTTCATGGGTGGGAAGAAAAGGAGTACATGGGGACAACAGTAAAGCACATGGGGTGAACCCATCGTAGAAAGGAGATACAGGGGCTCCTTGGCCTGCTTTCACAACTGCCCTCTGAGTAAAAAGTTACTGTACATAAAAGTAAAACATAGGGCCAGGTCTTGAGTTCAATCCATAGTACTGCAAAAAAAAAAAAAAAGTAAAACATTACCCTTCATAGTTTAATAAGGGAAGTGTTTGGTTTTGTCTTGTAGTTGTTCCGTGTTCCTGGCACAGAACCTCCAGAACCCTGACAATTCCCTGAGTGACAAGCATGTCGCTCATCCCCCTGTGGACCACACCTGGGCTTATGCCAATGACAAGACTGGGTTGGATGGGGCTGGTCACCAGTAAGATGGGGCTGGGGCTTTGCCTCCCGCACCAGCCTCCAGGAAGGGCTGAGCTGAGAGCTCTATAAAGATTCTTGGGTGGGATGTGGGAAGCCCCAGAGATTCCTGACAAGAGTGGGAAGCCCCAGGCCCTCATCCCATACTGCATCCTCTGGTGCCTTCCGCTGGCTGCTCAAGCCGTCCTCTGCGGTGAACTCGGGGGCGAGAGTGAAAGGCCTTCCTGAGCTCCACAGGCCACTCTAGCAGATGATCAGCCCGAAGAGGGGCGTGGAAACCCTTACCTGCAGCTGCCCCGTCACAAGCATGGGTGGAAACCAGGACTGGGGCTGGTCTGGGTGGGCAGCCCTTGGTGACGGTGCCCTTCCCCTGCGGGGTCTGTGCCCACCCTGGCGGCTGGTGGCAGGGCTGGATTCATGCGCTGGAGGCCCAGAAGGGAGGTAAACATGGGGAGTAGATTGGCGGTACTGAGAAAACAGCTGGCCCCAAAACAAAACAGTCATGCACATCAGGATTCCTGAGGCCCTGGGAAGGGAGTGTGACTGGTCCAGCCACTCTGGAGAGCCCAGGAGCACCACCCACCCTGCTCCATTCCTGGGTGGCAGCCCAATAGAGCAAGGAAGATACAGAGATGTCTGGACAGTGGCCTGCACGCTGGCCCCAAACTGGACATGTCCCACATGCCATCGGGGCAGATTAGTACAGATGTTAAGTTGATAGCCAGGGACACTCCACCCAATGACAGTCCCTGCTACCACCACAGCAGGGCCAAGCCTTACGAAAGGCTGTTGAGTCAGGGAAGCTCTTGATGTGGAGCCACTGCGGGAGGCCAGGGGATGAGAGGAGCGAACACTGAGGTCCCCGGGAGGTGTCATGGGGCAGGCTGTGGGGTCCCATAGGAGATCCAGAGTCTGCAGGCTATAGCCTGCACACACCCCAGGGCAGGACTCCTGCCTGCTTTACCCAGCACCCTCGTCCCGGGGGCCAGCGTGGGTACTGTGTCAACAGCAGGCTGGGGGCTGAATGGAGGCAGGGAGCCAGCTCGCAGGCGGGGACTGGCTGGGCCTGCTGGGCCAGACCTAGATCAGCACCAGGCCTCAGGGTCGGCCTCGCGCAGGAACTCACTTCTTCCCAGGACTGTCCCCTGCCCTGTCCCAAGGAACCAGGTTCTCAGATGTCAGAGAGAGCTCAGCAAACCTAATCTGATGCTCTCCGGGCAACCCTGGCTCTGGAAAGGGACCAAGGGGAGGTGTCTGTCTGCATTCCTGGGTGGGGATGAGACGGCAGGCCCCACAGCAGGGGCGCCTGGCCTCATAGCAGGGATGCCTGGCCCCATAGCTGAGAACCTGCCTCTCCGAGCACCCCAAGCTCAGGGCTGAGGTGGGGACACCCACATGTGGGGCTCACACCCGGCCCAGCACTCAGGCCCTGCCATGGGGGCCCACAAGAGCAGTGAGACCAAGGCCACCGAGCAGGTAGGAACAAGCCTGGTCCAGAATCCCCTGAGGAATGCACAGGACCTGGCCCATGACAGCTGTGTCTCTCTGGCCAGAGCCCATGCCCTTGCCCAATAACTGTTTCAAAAACTAAGGAAGAAAAGAGGTGTCACTGGACCAAGAAGGTAGCAGTGGTCACCAACATCCAGTGCCCGTGCCCAGGGCGTGGCCCGTGCCTGGCCTTGTGGGAGGGGACTTTCCAGAATCTAGAGGAAGCTTGGCCTAAAATCCAAGGGCCAGAAGCTTGCACACAGGTTCTAAGAGCCAGGAGGGTCCTCTGGCCACAGACTCGAGGCCCAGCAGACTCAGGGCAGGGAAGGCAGGGCACCTCATGGAGGGGACCGGAGCCCAGCAGGCCGAGCGCAGTGCTGAGTAGAGTCACCACCCGATTCCCCCATTCTCAGAAAAGCAGGGCCAGAGCCTTTCTGAGCCTCCCAGAACTGGGGCAGCAACTCCCCCGGAGTCCCATTCCTGGGAGGGACTGGCCCTGCAAGCAAGTCAGGGCAGGACAGTGGGCGGCAGGCTTTCCAGGCTCTGCTCCTGGGGATGGCCCGGCCCAGGGCCAGGAGGGCTTTCTGGGAAGGGGCCTGGAAGCTGAGCTCCTGCCGGACAGAAGCGGGGCTTGAAAGCGTGAGAGTTTATCCAGAGGACGGAGCAAAGGACAGCGCTGAAGGCAGAGACCGCCACGGGGCAGCAGGGCGGGGTGAGCAGGGCTGAGGGAGTGGCCGCACCTGCGTGGGGCCTGGCCGCACCTACGTGGGGCCTGGCGGAGAGCTAGGCTTATAGCAGCAGCCAAGCAGCTGGGTCACGGAGCGGCAAGTCACTGGCAGCATGCTGTGTGCGCTGCTCCTCCTGCCCAGCCTCCTGGGGGCTGCTATGGGCAGCCCCCTCCCAGGCACCTCAGGCCCCCCAGAGTGTGCTGCAGGCTCCAGGGTGTGGTGTAGGGACCTGGAGGCTGCTGTGAAGTGCGGGGCCCTGGGGCACTGCCGGGAGCTTGTCTGGAGCAAGCCCACCGCCAGGTCCCTGCGCTGCGAAGTGTGTCAGGATGTGGTGGCCGCCGCCAGCAGTGGGCTGAACCCAGATGCCACAGAGTCTGAGTTCCTGGTGCCCCTGATGAAGACCTGTGAGTGGCTTCCCAGCCTGGAGTCTTCAGCCAGATGCAGGTGGGTAGCGGAGGCCTACAGCCCCACCATCCTGAGCATGCTCCATGGAGCCCCGGGCACCGCCCCGGCACAGGTGTGCTCAGCGCTCACCCTGTGCGAGCCGCTGCAGAGGGTCCTGGCTGCCCCAGGGGTGCCACTCACCCAGGAGGGTGCACTTGAGGTCGTGGCTCCGTTCCTGGCCAACGGAGCCCTCACTTTCCACGCCCCGCTGCCAGCACCTGAGGATGCCGTGTGCTACAACTGCATCCGGCTCATCTCTCAGCTCCAGGGTGCGCTGGGGCCCAACCTGACCCTGGCCGAGCTGAATATGCAGGAGCAGTGCGAGTCCTTGGCACCCAGCCTGGCTCTGCTCTGCAAGAACTACACCCACCAGCTCTTCAGCCCCACGGAGCAGACCCTGAGGGGCCTCCCGCCCCAGGAGGTCTGCAGGAAGGGAGGCTTCTGTGAGGAGCTCAGGGGGCCAGCGCAGCAGCTGGCACAAGTAGCTGCTGTGGATGGGGCCCCCCCTATCAACCTACCCGAGATGACAAGCGAGGCCCAGAAGGCGTCGGGCCTGACCTGTGAGGTGTGCCTGGGCATAATCAAGGAGATGGACCAGTGGCTGGCGTCCAATGGCACTGAGGTCTTCATCACCCACTCCCTGGAGCGCGCGTGCTCCATCATGCCCCCGTCCATCGTGCAGCAGTGTATCGTCATGGTGGACACCTACAGCCCTGCCCTGGTGGAGATGGTCACCCAAATCACTCCGGAAAAAGTGTGCACAACCCTCCGGCTGTGCAGCCGACGCCGAAGTGCCCGCTCCCTCTCCAGGTGGAGCCTGGCGACCACAGCCCCCCCACCGCCCCCGGTGCTGCTGGACGAGGAGAACCAGGGCAGCTTCTGCAGCAGCTGCAAGCGCCTGTTCCACCTGTCCTCCGAGAACCTGGAGCTCAAGAGCACCAAGCGGGACATCCTGATGGCCTTCAAGGGCGGGTGCCGCATCCTGCCGCTGCCCTACAGGATCGAGTGCAACCGCTTTGTCACACAGTACGAGCCCGTGTTCATCCAGAGTGTCAAGGAGATGATAGACCCCTTGGCTGTGTGCAAGAAGATGGGGGCCTGCCACGCCCCCAAGATCCCACTGCTGGGCACTGACCAGTGCGTGCTGGGCCCCAGCTTCTGGTGCCGCAGCCGGGAGGCCGCCGAGCTGTGTAATGCCATGGAGCACTGCCAGCGGCAGCTCTGGAAGGAAAGGCAATTCCACACCAGGCTGCACCCCTGACCCCATGAAGCTGCAGGCCCCGACTGCCAGGGCCAGTGCCTCAAGGCTCCGTGCCCCAAGGGACCGAGGAGGTGGGTGCTGTCCCATCCCATTTCACAGATGAGAAACCGAGGCTCTGCCCAGGAAGCTGGGGGCAAGCGGGGCTGACAGCCAAAGCCAGGCATTTCCGATCTTGTGGGGCTCTGTTAACACCTCCACCTGGTGGCTCTAGCCTCACAAATAACAGCAGCAGAGCCAAGCATGTGGAGTGCACCGTCCCACTGCAGCCAAGACCACTCTCCACACTGTGACGCTGCAGACAGCCCAGGGAGCCTGGCAGGGGCCTGGCTGCCCCTCCACCCGCCTGGGCAGACAACCCAGCTGCCAGCCAAGGCAGGATCGGGGAGAAGGGCATGGGGCCATGATGGCCAGCTGCAGTTCCTCTTCTCATGGCTTGGATCAGGGGCTGGATCTCAACTGGGGGTGGCTTTGGTGGCTCCCAAGGGTGCAGGTGCCTCTGGACTTCTCTGGGAGGAGTCTGAGGCTTCGTCCAGGTTCCCCAAGGGGTGCTTCTGGTGTCTTGGCCCCCATGGGGACTCTGTCCCCTCCCCTAGGCTCTCAGCTGCCCTGATGCAAAGAGAAAATCTTAGGGTGGGGGTGCTTGGCAGCAGAAGGGCAAAGCACACTGGGCAGAGCCCTGAAGCAGCCCTGAGGGTACGGGGTGGCAAGGGCCATCCAGGAGAGCCATGCCCCAGCAGCGAGCAGGTCCTTCCCCTACCAAAGCCTCAGTTTCTCATCTGTGGAATGGGATGGTCACACTTTCCTCACAGACACATTGAGATGATTTATGGGCATGTCCCCACGCTCCTTCCCCTGGGGACCAGCACCCGTTGGCCTGTCGGGGCCAGCAAAACCCACCTCAGGGAACTGAGGGTCCCCAGGGAGCATGGCTGTGTGAGTGTGGATAAACCACAGGAGTGCTCCAAGTGGTGTTCGCTGATTTCGTTCTCTCGGAAGGCTGTGTTCCCCTTGGGGGCTCAGCACCCTCTCCCCAGCCTCCTGGGCTTCTGCCCCCTCAGCCCGTGTGGCACCCACAGAGGCTTCCTCTCACCTGCTCTGAGGCCCCTTTGGTGGCAGCCGTGGGCGTGACGCCTCCAAGTCTTCAGCCCGTGCATGTAGTACGTGCTTACACATTCATGCATTGGAGGACCCGCCGCGTGTTCCTGGGGGCCTGCTGCAGGGCCCCTCCACATCAGCCCGCCTCTCCAGCGAGGGCGCCCAGCCCACTGGCAGCAATGTGAGTGGCCGCTGGCTGCCAAGAGGCCACACTGTGCTCTGGGGTAGCTGCTCTGGGCCGGGTCACCATCCCAGACCCTTCAGCCCCACTAGCCAGCATCTGGACCTCTCCATGCTGGCTACGGCTGTCCAACAGCACAAGGGTGGTGGCCCCACTGCCCACCATGTGTCTCAGACCCGTATGCAGCCCGGGAAGGTGGCTTGCCGTCCAATGGAGAATCAGATCCGGAGCCCCCAGCTGCCCGCAAGGTCTCCGCCCCCACCAGATCTGATGTCCTGGGACACAAAGTGCTGCAGCCCAGCTGCTCCTGGGGACACTTGCTGACAGGAGAGTGGGGCATGCCACAGCCTGCCCCGCCTGACACTTCTTGGAGACATTACCAGACACATAGGGCAGCCCAATGGGAGCTGGGAGAGGCAGGCGCCGTGTCCTGGTGACCCCTCAGCACAGAGCTGATGTGGCCCTCCTGCTCGTGGCCCTGAACCCTTGCACTCCTCGCCCGAAGCTGCCACACAGGGCAGTGAAGGTGGGGTCTCCCTGGGCCTGTCCTCTACCTCTGGGCCTGGCACCAGCTGCCCTCCTTGACACTCACAGAGCTCCCACTCAGGTCAGAGCCCACAGGGCACTCTGCTGGGAACAGGTGGTTTTACCTGCCCAGGCCACTCCCATGTCCCCTCCTCTCCCCTGAGCCCGGGGCCTTTGCCCAAGTTCTGTCTGCCTGACCTGACCCTCTCAGCCCCTCGTGCACAGCTTGGCCTGACCAGCACCCCAGAATCTGCCTCTGGCCCCAGCTGCCCTCCCCCCACCCTGCTATGTCATGCTGTGCCGGAGGTCCTGCCATCTATACTCTCTCTCTCTCTCTCTCTCTCTCTCTCTCTCTCTCTCTCTCTCTCT